GTGTATACTATTTTGGGAATTAGATATGTGTTTATGATTGTGCTCCTGCCAAAAATTGTGTGTGCTGTGTATTTGTGTCTGTCAATTATGTTTTTTTTATAGATTTTGTCAATGTTTTGCCATGTTTCTGTGTTAGTTTGAGTCTGTTTGTTTGAACAATAAATCGCATAAATCCCAAGACTATCCTTCTTTACTATTCCTCAAGGGAATTCTTATATTTCTTGCCACCTACCAATTCCCATAATTTCAGATTTAGTTGTGTTGATTTTAGACCAAATACCTCTCGAAAAGTCTTTGAAAATTGATATTATTTTTGAAATAGACTTATCAACAATAGGAAAAAAACGTGTGTCATCTGTATATGCAATGTCTCCCCCCCCCCCTCCTGGATCCCTACTACTTTATATTTCAGATTTAGTTTTTTTGATTTTAGACCAAATACCTCTCGAAAAGTCTTTGAAAATTGATATTATTTTTGAAATAGACTTATCAACAATAGGAAAAAAACGTGTGTCATCTGTATATGCAATGTCTCCCCCCCCCCCCTCCTGGATCCCTACTACTTTAATACTCTCTTCCCTTCTAACTCTCTCTAACAAAGGTTCAAAGGATAGGATATAAAGGTAAGGGGAAAGGGGACACCCTTGTCTAACTGATCTGTCAATTTTAATGTCTTTAGAAAGTGTGCTGTTAATTAAAAGACTACTAATGGGGGACTTGTAGAAAAATTTTAACCCAATAACAAAAATACTCCCCTAGTATGTTATGATGTAATACTTTATGTAGGTATGTATAGTCTACCCTATCAAAGGCTTTTTCTTGTATTAAGAGATAATATGCACGTTTGGATGTTTTTGTAATTTGAATATTGAATAAGATCTCTAAAAAAATTCTTGTGGTTATCTATGTCCCTGACTTTGATGCTGCATTGTTGGTATATATGTATTAGGGTATTTAAATGTGGTTTTAATTTATTTGCTAGTGTTTTTGTGAAAATTTTATAGTCTGTGTTCAGTAAAGCTATGGGTCTATGATTTTTAAGTTGTGTTCTGTCTGTACCTTTTTTTGGTAGAGGCTTAATGTATGAAGTATTCATTGAATGTGGTAAACCCTTGTTGCTGTAAGCTTCTTCTAGTGTGGCATATAAAATTGGACCCAGTGTGGTGAAAAAGAAAAGGTAGACTTCCGTTGTTAGGCCACCTGACCCAGGGGTTTTGTTTTTGTTCACGCTGGACATTGATGTTTTGATGTCTGCTAATGTAATAGCTTTTGTACATTTCAACGAGACTCTTGCAATTTGAGTGGGTTAAAAATGTGGTTGATTTCTGACTCTTAAAAATTAACTTGGAAAAGATTGAACATTATAATAGTTAAAAAACAACATTTTTTATCCATTCTATATTGTTATTTAAAGAAATGTCCTTTAAAAATATGGAAGTATTTTTTTAGAGACGCTTCGCCAATAAACAATATAAAGACATACACATTTATTTTAAACACTATTCACTCACTGTCGCCTAAGCCTTCTTGCAATGTGACGACCCCAATCAGGAATAAGAGGTTTAATTTCTGATTGAAAATTAGAATTTAAAAAACATAAATATCATTATCATTAATTTAGTATTTTTTAATTTTCATTGTCTTTGGCATACACATCTTTTTACACAGTAATGTATGCCCACTACAAGCTGTTGCCCTTTAGAATGAAAATCCTGTGAAATAATTTGTCTCCACTTAACATGTAATTTAAAAAAAAAAAGAATAGATATTTTCAAAGTATAGCTTCTGAAAATAATTGTTATCCTTAGAGAACAGAGATGAGGGGGGGGGGGGGGGGGGGGGAGAGACGAGGCATCGGATGGTAAGCGTGTTCCGGTGGCGCATGGGCTTCCAAACAAAACATTTCTTTCAAGAAGAGGTTTCCATCACTACGACTGGCCGCCTCGTATAAACAGGGGTCCCTTCACTGGGTCCAAATATGACAGTTCTAAATCTAGGGTGACGTCAGCACACGCCAACACCTTGCTCAAATGGCTACACAAGCCGTAAATACCCAACGAACAAAGCAACCGCCATCTGTGTAACTGCCTACTCTAAGAAACGATCAATAGAACTTAATAATGGTGGACATGTGGAGGGTCATATGGATTTATTAATATAAATTATGTCATCTTCAATATTTTGCGTTCTTATATACATATATATATATATATATATATATATATATATATATATAGAGAGAGAGAGAGAGAGAGAGAGATATATATATATATATATATAGAAATACACACACACATATATATATATATATATATATAGAGAGAGAGAGAGAGAGAGAGAGAGAGAGAGAGAGATTATTTTGTGTTTTTATATATATATATATATATATATATATATATATATATATATATAGAGAGAGAGAGAGAGAGAGAGAGAGATAGATAGATATATATATATATAAAAATACACGCACACATATTTATATATATATATATAAAGAGAGAGATGGAGAGAGAGAAAGAGAGACAGGGAGGTAGAGGTAAATATACATACCCACATATTTCTTACATTTGAGACGACCTCTGGAGGCTCACAAACTCTCTCGAGTATCTTACTGTCATAGATCATTCCGTTTAAATTAAATCGTCTTTCAAAATTGAATTGGATTTTTGCTTAAAATGAATATCATTAGTTTCAATCACAGACTCATTCAGTTTGTGGTGATTGCCTTGTGATGGGGACATTCACAAAAACATAATTAAATTTAGAGATTTGACAATTTAGTACCTAGCAATGCGAACCTCATCTCCAAAACATGAATGGACAAGTAGATCGACAATGATTAGGTTCGTACGTGGTTTCCGTGCGTCAAGACCCTGTTGACCATAAAAAGAGACATACACAGGCACAGTCAAGACACTTTTCAACATAAAAGGAGACCAGACACAATCACGTCAAGACACAGCTGATCATGAAAGGGAGACAGATGGACACACTCACGTCAAGGCATTTTTCAACATAAAAGGAGACCATGCACGATCACGTCAAGACTCTGTTCAAAATAAAAGGAGACCAGACACAATCACGTCAAGACATTGCTGAACATCAAAGGAGACATAGACAGACACAATCACGATTTTTGTAAATCAAAATGATCTCATAATAAATAAGAGCGAGAAAATTTAATGATTGTAAACTCATTGTAACCAAAAAAATGTATTTGTCCTGCGGCTTGCCTGGTCGACTGAAAACGCCGCGTTTAAAGCGTTCGCGGTCCACTCTCCTTAGGCCTGAACGGCTTTGCTTCCTCTCCGGGGAAAGGTGTTGCGTTACCTCCCCCCCTCCCCCCCCAAAAAAAAAAAACGACCAGGGAGTTGTTCAGTCGGGACGAAAGCTGGGACGAAATGGTCGCCTAGGAGCGGCTTTCTCAGGGCCGCGTAGCCGTCAACTCAACATTTTGAAACTATCTTTATATATATATGTATATATATATTTATGATAGGATAGGAGGGTTTTAAAGTATAATTGTTTTGAAATGTCCTTCTGAGGCACAGTAAGAGTAAGACTTTTAAGGCAACTTTCACATGTGTAATATATTAAATCAGCGCCAAGCGAAATGAGGGAGGGTGCTAAAACTCGAGGGGGGCAAACTGGAAGAGCAGAAACTGGGAAGGGGGGGGGGAACTAGGGGATGTGCTAAAAATGTGAAGAGCGCAAATGTAGGTTTAATACACGAGCGCTATAAACTAAAGGGCTGAACATTTATTATTGACATCGTCGTGCTATAAACTAAATGTGGTGAAGTTTAATTTACGTTAGGGCCACACCATGAGTATGCTGTTAGAATACAGCCATACTGTTAGAGTTTAAGCTGGTCTCATTATACACAGGTGACCATGCTCTTTCTCTCTTAAAATGCCCACTCTTGAGGAAATCAAACCCCTATGTCATTCAACCTTTTTCGAAATGGCTAAAATTTAATGACGACACCCGGATACATTCCCCCCCCCCAACAAGATTGTCCTGTTCTAGTCCACAACAATCTTCATCCTCTTCTCTGTGATACATTTCAGCTATTAGTTAAGTGTTTTTTTTTTGTTTTTTTTTTTTTTAAACATTTCTTCTTTTTGCTGTTCACTGACGACGGCTTCTTGCCGACACCGTTTTGGTGTTTGTTGCGTCCTCTCTTCATGTTGCCACAGAATGGATGGTATTGTGGGGTAGTGGCCCCGTAACAAGTGGTATTGGCAATTGGTGTAATTGTAGCTAATACATTGCCACTATCTGATGGTTGTCATAGATCAGGTGGTAGTATCAGGGTACGACCCGTACTTATGATCATAAATCTAGTGGCATTCCTGTCAAAGTGACTAATACATGGCCCGCCTATCACTGTGATGGTTTTTTTTTTTGCCCAGGCCTTAAGGAAAACATCAAGAAATGCACAGCATACACAAATAAATCATCAAGCAATGCCCAGGCAACAATAGTCAGGAAATGATGTACTGATAAATATAGTGCCACAATTGAAGTAATTGATGTTTCCTAACTCTTAACGCTTGACAAGCAGAGATAGCTCTGCTATCTTTGACTACTACCTCTGCGTTTGTCACTTTGATTAGACTGTGCTAACTCAACTGTCTATGTCACTAAGATCTCCTTCTTAAATACGATTCTCTACCTCCATATGTGGTCCAGGAATGTTATCTATTAACGCAGGATCTCAAACTGAAATTATTCCGGGGGGTCGCAAGAGGTAGAGCCTGATTAATCCTACTTTAAAATTGACAAAGCTGACAGGCTCGGAACAAAGTAACATTAATTCTCTAGGCAAGAAGAAAAAGACATACACATTTAATCAAAGAAACACTGACCCCCTAGACCAGCACAAGATTGCAGACAACAGTTTAAAAAAATAACATTGATACATTAGTCAAGCACTATATATTGCATACAAGTTGAAATTGTAATGAAATTTTGCATTGTTATTTTAATAACGTGGAGATAAAAAAACAAACTGCCATAGTGGTGAAATCGTTCATTGTTTCTGGTTCTTGAAATCAAGGTTCCCTTTTTGACCGTGTCTCCAAAAGCCGCTCCTCCAAAAGCCGCTCTTTCAATAGCCGCTAAATCAATACCGGGCCTCTACGAGCCGTGCAACTGCAGTGAACCGTTAAAACTGACACGCATCAAAGGCGGAGTTAAGCAGGGGGTACGCCCCAAGCCCGCAAGATTGTCCGGTGACGTCATCTTGGTCAAGGTCATCGATGTATACTCCACCAAGATGTCTATCAATGACGTACCTGGTCTGCAATTCAGAAATGTGCATCTATTTAGTTTGTGTTTCTTGATTTTTTTATGAGTCATTAAATAAATTAAGTAAAATAAGCAGCTCTGTCAAAAAAGCTCGAAGTACTTCTGTTCTTCGCACAACTGAACTTGCCGAAACGCGTCGACTAGGATTTTTAATATCAACCATGTTTCCAACACTGGTCTTTCTTTCACCCATTTACAGTTAGTGGTATTTATCAGACTGTAATATTTTAGCAGGAATAGGCTTATAGGAAAATGTTATAGAAAAAGATAACTTCTCATTCTTTATACTACGCACCGGCCTTTGAACAATAGGCTTACAGACAGTCCTAACTGTCGGCCTTAGAACAATAGGCTTACAGTACAGACAGTCCTAACGGTCGGTCTTAGAACAATAGGCCTACATTACAGACAGTCCTAACTGTCGGCCTTAGAACAATCGGCCTACAGTACAGACAGTCCTAACGGTCGGTCTTAGAACAATAGGCTTACAGACAGTCCTAACGGTCGGCCTTTAAACAATAGGCTTGCAGACAGTCCTAAAGACAGCCCTAAAGACAGCCCTGCAGACTGTCCCACAGACAATCCTACAGACAGTCCTACACCATACCCGTAACTCATCCGACAAAAAATTCAACGTTTTTACCTGGGTCCGACCGTCAAGCATGACGCTCGCTGCTCTACAGCCGCACCCCCCACCCCAACTCAGTAATATTTATATAAAACATATTAAGCAGGGGGCTGGTCGGTTGTAAATAGGAAGCAGCCACATCAGAAGAGACATATAGATGCAAGAGATGCTGTACATTCATTAATAATTTCTAAAATGCCATTACACACAGTAAGTTTCTGTTGAGATTTTTTAACCACATCCACATATTGCACGGTAGGGTTTCAATTTAAAAACGGTGCGAGACAATGACTAATATTTAAAAAAACAACAAAAAAACAAACATCAAAGTTGATAACGGTATTCATCAATATGTAAATGTTGATTTTTTTCTAAAGCGTATGTCTTAGATTTAAAAAAAAAATGTTAATTTAGAACTTTTCATATGATTTTCAGTGTTCATCGATGCATTTTTCTGGTATAATATTATATTCTCTTGATCCAACCTGGGATAGATGGCTCTACAACTAGGGATACATGGCAATAGCACTTTGGATACAAAGCTACACCACCTAGGGTATTTAGCAATAGCACTTGGGATACAAAGCTTTACCACTTAGGGTACTTAGCTATATCACGTGGGATGCATAGTTATACCACATGGAATACATAACTATACCACTTCGGATAAATAACTGTACAAAATGGAATACATACTTATACCCCTTGGTATACATAGCTATACCCTTGGGATAGCTAGCTATACCCCTTGGTGTACACATCTTTACCACTTAGGATACATCGTTATTCCCATTGATGAAACGTTTCATTACCCAGAAGGAATCGCTCACGGCTTTTAAAGATGACAAAAACAAAGTCCCTTTCCAGTAGAAAGTGAAGACGCGAAATTTAAAAAAAATGATAAATGAACTTGAATATTTATTCCATTCTTTTGAAATGAGTCCCTTACTTAGAGATAACTAAAAATGACCCCTTTTGGAATGGGCTTGTGACGGGGCTACTATTTTAAATTAAATGAAAAAAACGGCCACAATTTTTTTTTTTTACATTAATATTTTTAGAGTTATGGTAAGTCTGGATTTTTATAAAAGAACTATTTTCAAATTTAAATGCTATTTAATCGAATTATTTTTGACAGGTCCAGAAATTTCCATCTAGGCTTAAAACGCTTGAAAAACTTTATTATTTTTTTTTCTTCCTAATACCAACCCAAGCAAAGCCGGGTACATTGGCTAGTTGCAACTCTACCAAAAGAAACACGTATTACATCTCTGAACCTTTCTTATAAAAGTATTCATTTATTTTGAACTTTAAACTCAGCTTTGCCGCTCTAAACAGGTGGCAGTGAATTAACCAAATTTGGTACATTTCAAGTGAGAATATACTTCAATATCTTCCTCACCAGACACAACGACAACAAAATCCTCACCTTATAGAAGACACTGTCAACGTCTTCATATCCCATCCAAAAATCTTTGTAATAGAGGTAAGGCGCAGCGGCGAATGCGGAACGGACCACAGAGGCTTTTCCCGTATCCAGAAACTCACAGATCTTTAGGGAAAAAAATAAGAACACTACTATTTTTTATGTTATATGACAGCAAAAATGTGTTGCCTTTAAGATTATGTCTTTCTCATTGGAAAATGACGTGAAGAAAATATATTATCAAATACTGAAATTTTTTTTTTTTAAAGAAAGAAAAGCGGGATTTTGCAGCCTGTGATGTCTTAAGGCCGATCTTAAGGCCGATGTTAAGGCCGATGTTAAGGCCGATGTACCGTGGCGTGTTTCGTGTAGAATAATTTTAAAAAAAGAACCACAAACCAACAAACACACAAAAACTGAGAATTTTTAAATGTGGTTTGTTAAAGTAATGAGTTAAGAACACAAGTCATAATAGAAAGGGAAAACAACGAAAGTTACAAGAAGAGATAGCGGAGGATACAATAAGACTAATAGAGAGATTGAGAGAGAGAGAGAGAGAGAGAGAGCGAGAGAGAGAGAGAGAGAGAGAGAGAGAGAGAGAGAGAGAGAGAGCGAGACAGAGAGAGAGAGAGTTAGCAAAATATTAAAGTTGAAATATTCAGTGACTGTTTTGTATGATGGGTCAGCCATGGTGGTATCTATGCTGGCTAACGCAAAAGAAAAAAAAAACAACAACAAAAAAAAAGCAACAAAATTAAGATTCTTCATCCTAACAGTAGTCTTTTCTTCTATTGCAGTCTCAAATGTTTTGATAAAGTAGTTACATAAATAGCTTTAAAAAAAAAATTGTAACTTAATGATGTTTAATGTCATTTACTGCTGAGTAAACCAATGCACAATTTCACGAGAGTGTAGGGAATACATGAATTCTATTTATAGGTAGTAAAGTACTATATTATCCACCATATTGGAGAGCAGGCAGAAGAAGTTTAGCATATTGTGTCTGCTCAAGATTACAAAAGGATACAGTGTATGAGTTACGTTACATGTTATTTTCTAAAGAGAAATGGATGAAATGTGAACTGTATTTAATCCTCATTCCAATATGGCGTCATATGTGAATTTTATTGTCCGGTGAAATATTTATGTAAATAAAGAATTAATATGTGAAGAATTGGACTTCCTGTTAGTATTTAACACACTATCTGATATCCAGTAAGATATCCACTAAGATTTCCACTACGATACCCTTTAAGATAGCCACTAAGACATCAGCTAAGATATCAAATAAGATATCCACTAAGAGATTCATTAAGACATCCACTTAGATATCCACTAAGACACGTACTAAGATATCCAATAAGATATCTATTAAAATAGCGCCACTAAGATATACATTAAGATGTCCACTAAGATTTATACTAAGTTGTCCACTCAGATATCCACTAAGATTTCCACTAAAATATCAACAAAGAATACACTAAGATATCCACTAAGATATCCACTAATATATTATCCTCTTAGATATCAGCTCAGGTCATGATCATTCTCACTAATTTATCATCGAAACTGAGCACGTTACAATGATGGAATGCACGAACTGTTAACAAAAATCAATAATGCACTATAATTTTACATGCACATAATAAACAATTTGTGTGTGTGTGTGTTACTCGTGGGAAAGGAGGTGCAGCGTATAGCGCCACTCCTGGAAGGATGAGTTTGCCGTGCCCAGCAGCCGGGGCCCCTAAGTTAGTCTGGCTGACATCTTTCAGTTTAAAGGACCGCCCGAACGTGGGGATTCCAATGACGAGCTTTTCCCGGGGATGTCCTTTGGATATCCAAATGTTAATGACGTCACCCTGGGCGGAAAAAAAAGCCCCTTTAAAACTGTGAAGGAATACAATTCAATGTCGTTTTAACAACAACAACAACAACAAAATTGTAATTTATCAGATAAGATATTTGAAAAAAATGAATGTCTTGGTACAGCGCGCTTACCACTTCACTTAGAAGAGAGTGATGTCCTATAGTCTTATGCCAACCTCCAGCCATGTTGGACGCCACGATGACTGTGTAGTCAATGTGCCTGATGAATCAGAGCCAAGGAAAACAATTGTCAAACAAATCTGCTGGAAATATTTAACAGATCATCACAGCTTCTTTAATCATTAAAATTTAATTCTATTCAGGGTTATTCTTTTTTTTTTTTTTTGTTATTATTTTCAAAATTTTTCGATAAAAATATTTCTAAAAGCAGGCTTTAAATATGTTGACATTAGGAAAAATAATTGATTTAAAGATTTGTCTAACTATAAATATAAACATTGCACTTTCGAATTAACACTTTTTTTTAAACCGTTATATTTACAAGAGATAGGCTTCAAAACTGTTTCTGCCGTTTCAGGAAAATTCTGCTAATATTTTCCGCGAAGTTATCACACATATATATATATATATGAATTACTTTTCTGGCATACGTTTGAAATTTTCTATAGTTTTACTCAGCAGATCAAACTTAATAATATTATTCAAGGTCGTATTAAACAGTAAAATTATTTCAACAGATCACAAAAGATTACGATACATCCCGAAGGAAGGTAATGAAATCCCCCAAAGATGACAGTTTATCCCCAAGGGTGGATATGTATCGCAAAGGATTCCCATGCATCCCCAAGTATGCCAATCGGTCGCAGAGATGCTAACGGATCGCCAAAAAAAGCCAACGGATCCCAAAGGAGGCCAATGGATCCCAAAGGAGGCCAATGGATCCCAAAGGATGCGAATGGATCACCCAAAGATGACAATATATTGCGAAGGAGGGCAAAAAATTCCCCAAAGCTGACAGTGTATCCCAAAGGAGGCAAATGAATCTCCGTAGATGCCAGTCTATCCCGAAACTTGGCGATGGATTCCTGAAAGATGACAACGACAATATATCCCCAAGGCTGTGAAAATGGATCGCCAAGGATGCCAGTGGATCCCAAAATGATGCCAGTGGAACCCAAAGAATGCCAATCGGTCCTCAAGTATTTCAATGGATCCCCAAGGATGCATCATGCAAAGTGATACACAGGGTGTAAATTAATTGAATCCCGCAAAATATTGTCTTCAAGAATGCTTTAATTTTAAAAAAAAATTCACATTTAATTATATAATTGGTGTAAACAACATAATGTCCATGTGATGTGTACAACATAATGTCCCAGTGTCCGTAAAATTAGTAAAAATAAAAAGCGCTCACGGGTGGATGGTGGCAATGCTGTAGTGGTTGAGGGACACATACCGTCTGGCGTCCACATGGTGTGTCAGGAGAAGTCGTGGTGAGTTGGACGCACGGGCTTCTGCTTGAAGGAAAATCATCGTTTCCTAAAAGACGATTTATTAAGCGTTAATTCCAAATAATTGGTTTTATATCTGTCGGTCCCTAAATGTTTGATCAGTTACGAGGTTTTCCCAAACGTGTTAATGTATCTCGTCTTTTTTTTTCTTTTTTTTTTTTCGTCTTTCAAGTGTGGAATATGCATCAATTAACTGAACATTTACGTTGTTGTTGTTTTTTCCCATTTGATTATTATTTTGAATGACGATCAGAATGTAAGGTGTTATGCTTGTCATACCCTCATCCCGTTCACATCCCCTTTTAAAGAGCATTCAGGATATTGTGTTTGCGAATAAACAAATAAGGAAAGATCAAGTTTAAAAACAAAAAAAAGTACACGACGTTCCAGTTGAAACATTTCAACGTGTCTTTAAAAATGGCGCATTAACTTTAGAAGCAGTAAGTTAACGATGTGCTACAGCGCAACCACGGCTTTGTATACGGTAATCATTATTTTTTTAGATGAACGTGTGATGTTTTTTCAGTTTACACTAAAGTAATAGCCACCAGATTCTTCACTGTTGAAATATTATTGAAAGATCGTTGGGTTCCTGGAGCCACTCAGGAACTGTATGAACTATTGATAGCAGAATTAAAGTAAAGAAACCGTTAAAACAAGGTTGGACTTAAATCCTTTACTTAAAGTAAATCCTTTATAAAATTTAATATCGAGCAATAGGGGAGGGGGGCTAAAATTTGACAAACCATGCATTCAAGTAATACAATTTATAAGAATCCCAATTAGTGCACCCCCACCCCCGGCCCCGAAAAATCTCACAATCTTTCAGACTTCACGTCGTTTAGCTGTATACAATTTTTAAAGACCCGCCCGCTTTTACACCGCAGATTTATTTCACCAACATTTTACAAAAAAACAAAATAAAATAATAAGCACTAAACACACTTCTGATAGTTGTTTTTAAAAAAAAGTCTCATTTAGCTCAGTTTTGGGGGAATTCTGGCCACGTTTCAGCTGGATAGTTTGGTGGGAAATGTGCAAATTAGACGTCCAAGGATTTTTCCGAGTTCACCAACCGACCAGTTACGAACAAAAGCGAAGTTAATATATAAAGGTTATTAAAAGGCAAAATGCGCTGGGCTGGACACCTAGAAAGAAAGCCGAATGACAGTGCTGTGAAGAGTTTGCATCACCAATATCTTAGGAGAAAGAATGTCGAATGACAGTGCTGTGAAGAGTTTGCATCACCAATATCTTAGGAGAAAGAATGTCGAATGACAGTGCTGAGAAGAGTTTGCATCACCAATATCTTAGGAGAAAGAATGTCGAATGACAGTGCTGTGAAGAGTTTGCATCACCAATATATTAGGAGAAAGAAAGCCGAATGACAGTGCTGTGAAGAGTTTGCATCACCAATATCTTAGGAGAAAGAATGTCGAATGACAGTGCTGTGAAGAGTTTGCATCACCAATATCTTAGGAGAGAGAATGCCGAATGACAGTGCTGTGAAGAGTTTGCATCACCAATATCTTAGGAGAAAGAATGTCGAATGACAGTGCTGTGAAGAGTTTGCATCACCAATATATTAGGAGAAAGAAAGCCGAATGACAGTGCTGTGAAGAGTTTGCATCACCAATATCTTAGGAGAAAGAATGTCGAATGACAGTGCTGTGAAGAGTTTGCATCACCAATATCTTAGGAGAGAGAATGCCGAATGACAGTGCTGTGAAGAGTTTGCATCACCAATATATTAGGAGAAAGAAAGCCGAATGACAGTGCTGTGAAGAGTTTGCATCACCAATATCTTAGGAGAGAGAATGCCGAATGACAGTGCTGTGAAGAGTTTGCATCACCAATATCTTAGGAGAAAGAATGTCGAATGACAGTGCTGTGAAGAGTTTGCATCACCAATATATTAGGAGAAAGAAAGCCGAATGACAGTGCTGTGAAGAGTTTGCATCACCAATATCTTAGGAGAAAGAAAGTCGAATGACAGTGCTGTGAAGAGTTTGCATCACCAATATCTTAGGAGAGAGAATGCCGAATGACAGTGCTGAGAAGAGTTTGCATCACCAATATCTTAGGAGAGAGAATGCCGAATGACAGTGCTGAGAAGAGTTTGCATCACCAATATCTTAGGAGAAAGAATGCCGAATGACAGTGCTGTGAAGAGTTTGCATCACCAATATCTTAGGAGAGAGAATGCCGAATGACAGTGCTGTGAATAAGGTGCATCAAGAATATCTAAGGACAAAACGGCTCAAAGCCAAACCTAGACTTATATAGATGGATGAGATGGTAAAAAAGAAATCTGCAGCAACTGAGAATAAAAGGATGGATAGGAAAAGCCTCGTTGCTATGGTCCCCAGTACTGGTATAAGGTCAATGAATTCGGGCCAGCTAGTTGAAGCCTATTTGTTAGCTTTGAAAAAAACTGACCATGCGCAAAGGATTAAAATCAAAATGATAAAGGATCAGCCAAGACGGACGTTACATTAAAAGCAGGTTTATGAATTCTATGTTACAAGTACTAGCGCCAAAGAACAACGCTCAAATGAATTGTTAATCGACTTTAAAAAAAAAAATAGAAAGATTAAAAGAATTGATGTGACATGAAGTTATAATTAACGGTTTACACATTTCGGAGTGTGGAGTCAAAGGACTCAATCTTCTGAGCATCTTACCGAACACAAGTGGTTATTCCCAAACTGCTGAAAAAAAAAAAGAGGAAATGATTTTGGGTTGGAAAATGGGGGGGGGGGAGGGGGGGATGAGAAGACAAAATAAACACCAAAAA